TAGCGTTCATAAATTTTTATTTTTCAAGATACCGAAAAGTTGAAAACAAAGGTAGCGGAATCGGCTGATTTCCCATATATATATATATATATATATATATATATATATATATATATATATATATATATATATATATATGTGTGTGTGTGTGTGTGTATATATATATATTGTGTGTGTGTGTGTGTATATATATATATATATATATTGTGTGTGTGTGTGTGCATGTGTGTCTTTGTGTATATATTTACCCGTTCCGTAAAAAAAATTACAACTCTACGTAATTTTTCAATTACAATACCTATACTTTCTGAATAAGTACTCTAATATTTTATGTCGACGAACTCCGTTGTAACATGTAATAAAAAATACCCTTTAATTCATTAAAAGCAAAAAAATAAAATAAAATAAAATAAAACAAAGCAAAAGAAATAAAATGCAAAGTATTAGTAGCCTGATTTCGCAACATTTTAGTCATGAGATATTCCGTTGTTAGGGCAGCCTATTCAAATATAAGTATAGAGTTCCATTATATAATTAAGAAAATCTTATATAAGTAAGTAAAATTGAATTTTATCCCGAGTTCGCAAGGATGGTAGACGAAATAAATTCAACGGAGCGTCTATTCAAATACTGGTAACCACTAAATAAATTTTGAAGTAATAAAAATATTTCAGGTTAAAAATAAGTATCCATTAATTCGTTAGAAATTGGTATGTTCAGATATGACTTTTGAGAAAATTTGAACGATTGAATGTTGTTTAAGGTATATAGTATCTTGCTTGACTGTGAAGCTGTTCGTAGCCGAGCAGTGAAACACGCCGGATAGACGGTGGTATATACATACACACTACAATGGTGTTGTGTTTTGATTAGCGATCAAAAGCAAACGCTTTTAGCACAACGTTGAAAATCTGACTCGGTGTTACATAAAAATCGCAGAGACTGATACGTCTACACAAAAACAATGCGCAGTCCAGTGGCAAAAGCTGGTTCCGCCAGGGGTGGCAAAAGCTGGTGTCGCCAGGGGTGGCAGTGCCGCCTTGGCCACCGAAACATTGTTACTTGCCCTGGTTAATGGCTGACGGGGGTAGGGTATCGCAAGTGCTTTTAGACGTTTGTGAAAAAAATATATATATACATATATATGTATATATATGTATATATATATATATATATATATATATATATATATATATATATATATATATATATATATATGTGTGTGTGTGTGTATTTATATGCACGTATATAAATTTATATATATGCATGTATATATTTATATATATTTATGTGTGTATATAGTTATATATGTGTATGTATATATGTATATATATGTATATGTATATATCAATATATGTATGTAACAGTGTATATATGCATGTATGAATATATGTATATGTATGTATGTTTATTTTCATATATATGTATATATATGTCTGTGTGTGTGTGTGTGTCATATATATATATATATATATATATATATATATATATATGTACACACAGGTACACAGGGGCGATGGATAAATTTTCGCCTAAATTACGCAAAATGTAAATAATACTTACATCTCATTTTAACAGATATATTTACCAAATTTGCACAAAATATCTTGAAATACTAAAGAATAAATTTCTTCAATAAAATCGCCATTGGCTACATCCAAGGCGTCAAGGCAACTTCGGAATCTCCGGCAACTCTTCTGGCCGGTCTCCTTGCTTAAGTTGGTGAATGCTGCCATAGACCTTGCCATCAGTTCATCTTTGGTGTTACAAGAAGTCTTGTTGGTCTCTTGCTCAACTTCACCCCACACATAATAATCAAGGGTTGCAGTCTGGGAAGTTAGGTGGCCAGATGTAAGGGGTTGATACGGTCGCAGTAATTGTTTCGACAACTATGACTGAGTTCTCCAGGTTTTGAGGCATGAGGCAGAGTCCTGTTGCCATACATGGGGTCTTCCAGCAGACACACTGTTAAGCAAGGACAGAACTACCCTCTCGAGGTACTTGATGTAGACCTCTGTGTTGAATCTGAGACCTCACCAACTAATTCGGGAGTAATTTTCTTATCTTTTACGAGCTGTTGTACCTTCTTAATCACTATTAGACTCTTTCTGAATCCTCTGTATTGACATCCAAACACTCGTATTGGAACTTCCAGCGCGAATGTAAACATACTGAGATAGATAGATAGATAGATAGATAGATAGATAGATAGATAGATAGATAGATAGATAGATAGATAGATAGATACTCAAATTGAGATAGACGTGAACAGATTAAGATAGGTGTGGACAGACAGCTCTATCTGAAAAGGTAGGTAGCTATATACAGATAGATAGATATGAATGAATTGATCGATCTCAGTATGAAAGTAAAGAACATTGTTTCAAAGGAATGAAAAAAGTAAAACAGAAAAGATTGAATAAGGAATATGTAAATAGAATTTAGCGGGAAAAATAAAATAAGAAGGAATAAAGGAAAGAAAAATCCTCTTCGTCTGTCGTAAAAGTTTCTTGAAGGAAGACAGAAAATGAAGAAAAAAATGGTTATAACGAAAGTGGATAATGAATGGTGAATATAAATGAGAGAAAGAGAAGTAATTTGAATAAATGTCGAGCCATTAGAAAACAAACGACTTAATTTCAGAAATAATCCCAAGTTATAATTAATCATAAGAATTAATGTGGACAGGGCCAAATAGATTCATTCACTACTTTGCAGGCAAATGTTTCGTCTCTTCGTCTTCTTTCTCCTTTCATCACCAAACTCTTATTTCTCGCAAAATCAACGAAATTAAATTCCTTGACAAAAATATACAATATATGGGATTTTTTTTTATTTTGATGTAAATGGCAGTTCATTTTGATATGGTGCTATTTGGCCAATACGTCCATCAACAAAAATTATTTTCTTCTTCTTCTTCTTCTTCTTCTTATTATTATTATTATTATTATTATTATTATTATTATTATTATTATCAGGGCGCTGTTAACTTTTTTGTTACCATTATTAATTACTATTTAGAAGCATTCATATTGTCGTCATCATTATTTTCGACATTTTATTTTTCCCCGATAATGTATGTGTTATTTTCATATTCTGTTTTCACCCCTATATCATCATCATCATCATCATCATCATCATTATCATCTTATTATCATTATTATTATTATTATTATTATTATTATTATTGCTGTTGATATTATTGATATTGAGGGAGAAAGCTGCATGCACAAATATACGAAACCCAATGTGTCTATTGTTCATGCCCATCTTAACATCGAGTCAGATAAGATTATTATTATTATTATTGTTGTTGTTGTTGTTGTTATTGCTTTTGTTGTTCGTCCTTGTAGTTATTACTCTTGTCGTAACTGCCATAATCATTTTCTTGTTATTGTCAATTCAAAATTTTAATTTTTATAATTATAATATATTTCTTAAACATAAGCATGCTTAATAATTACATCTTTTACAGATAATATATGCGGCTATCTAAAGATAAATCGATAGACAGATTCATGTTGATGTTCTCTTCTTTTCAAACACGTATCCACGCAGAATTAATTATTCCACATATATAAAACAGACACACACACATATTTTATATATATATATATATATAAAAGAAATATGTTGTAGTGGTTCCAACGAGAGAAAAGTATGTATATTAAAAAGAAGAGAAGAGAGGTGCCGCAAACGTTTTTGGTTGTAATGTGGATTTATTTAGAAAAAATATTATGCTTTGTTTTACATAATTTTACTACGACACGTGTTTCTGGTCTCGCGACCGTCTTCAGGTAAAAGTGGAGATTTCTACATATTATTAAAAATAATATTATTAAAAATAATTAATTTTTCTTCATGTTCAGTGTGAGATATTCTCGATATGAGACATTCTCTGTTTGTGTGTTGGTAATCCGAATTTCTTTCTAGAATTGTAAATTACAACCAAAATCGTTTGCGGCACCTCTCTTCTTCTTTTTAATATATATATATATATATATATATATATATATATATATATATATATATATATATGCGTGTGTGTGTCTGTAATACTTCCTCAGCAGAAGTGTTCCAGGGTGGGACTCTTTGATGCTTGGCAGATTGGACAGATATTCGTAAACAGTACTGTTAAATGGACTTGTGATATTTACAATTATGATTCTAGTAGTATAATATGACATTCACATAGATACACACGCAAGTATATGCACACCCAATTATATATATGGGGCTGTGGGTATATATGCATGTGTGTATATATATATATATATATATATATATATATATATATATATATGCGTGTATATATATATATATATATATATATATATGTGTGTGTGTGTGTGTGTGTGTGTATGTATATATATATATATGTGTGTGTGTGTGTGGTAATAAATATAAGTAAATGCTCACTTATCTTATCCCAAGTCTGCTTTTAGTAGAAATTATATCCACACGTTAGGGGGACTTGATTTATTTTAATTTGCTTGTGTTTTTTCTTTGTTTCTTTTTTTTAAGGGGGGTTGGTTTTGTTTTTTGGGTTTTCTTGGTGGTGGAGGGGGGGGGTATCCCAAACAAATTTTGGGCGAATTATTGGGTTAAAATTTGAATTAAAAAGATTATTACGTTGTAAAAAAAATTATTTGTTTCGTAAAAATAAATATTTGCTTTCAGCATTTAGCTGTGGAATTACTGATGACACTCAAAAACACTTACGCACATATATTTGGTGAAATTATTTGTGTATGGAGTGATACCTATACACATTTATAGATAGATCCGTGAATGAATGCATACATACATACATAGAGAAAGATAGATAAATAGATAGATCGATAGACGAATAGGCATCTATACACACATACAAACACACACACACATATATATATGTATACATATATATATATATATATATATATATATATATATATATATATATATATATACGCAAGCATAAAGAGTCAGCTGGATTTTAAGTTACAAACGGTCGAAGGTCGAATTCATTTAACATTTAAAATTCATAAACACATGCTCGCATATGTCTGCACATGTGCAAACAGATATTCACATACATAGGCGCATAGACAAAAACTCCTCCGCACAAATGCACACATACATACAGTCGTGCGCGCGTTTATTTGATGAACGCTAATAATTTTAGTTTTTTGTTTACGTTTGTTTTTACGAAAATTTATGACGAATTAAGTTGTTAAATTCGTCTCTTAGATTGAACTGAACATGACGCACGCACACACACACGCACACACACAGGCTGACGCGCACAGACACTGTATGTGCAACGTGTACTTGAGAGAAAAAAAAAACTACTCTTTAGCTATAAATGGAAGACGTAATGTTCCGCGGCATGCGCCAAATGTTAACATTATATGTTTCCATGTAGACGTTTCGAGTGCATCAACAGGATAGATTCGAATCTGGCACATAAAATAAAACGCACGGCATTTTCTTACATACATACATACGCGCATAGATATTACATATATTTTGGTTGGAGAATATGGTACATAGATGTCTACCCATCTGAATGATGTTGTGGAAATGAAAAATTTCTGTGCAATAGGAGGACTTCGTTCGACTAAAAGTAATGTTTTCGTTTTTCCCTTTGTCATTCATTTACCTACCATATGTATGTATGTATGTATGCATCTATATGAAGTCGGTCATATGGTGCTATTTGGCCAATACGTCCATCAACGAAAATTTTAAGTGGTAAAATTAATGTCTGTCGACCTCGAGATCGAACGTAGAGATCGATTTTGTATTCTCGTTTTTATTTTGGGAAACTGTATTAAATATAACGTTCATAGTAATACAAAACAATGACTGATTAAAAATGTACTTATTGCTTACTAGACACACACACACGCACACACACATTATGCAGGGTACATCTATAATTCAGTCAGTCGGTAATGCACCTTTCGATACATGACTGACGAGGCAGATTTTTCCCGCAGTAGGTTGCCATTTCATTCTGTAGAACCAGTAGCCATCCAAGGTTATAGAACCCGGATCTCTCTTGCTATTTACCCATAGCTGGAGGGGGGGAGAAGAAGAGGATTCCCAAGGGTATTAGCATGTAAATAATGTAATGAATTCGAACTCGGCTCTTCGATTCCTCAATCCGAGCCGCTATCCATTACTCCGCCATCATCAATAATAACCGTGTCATCAATAATTACATATCCTGAAACTCTTATTAGATAAATTTTGTTGCGAAATTCTCGGTGTATTATGTTCGATCGACATTGATATTAATGGTGAAAATGCTGGTTAAAAATACATTGAAAAAGGAGATTATGTCGAGAAATATTTGTGGTGTTAAATAAATACATTTTTTTTTCTTTTTTAGATAATGTACTTATTGATTTTCCTGTGGGCATGCGTAGTTTATTGATTTCTGGTCGAAATAAAAGCATTCTCTCTCTCTCTCTGTCTGTCTGTCTGTCTCTCTCTCTCTCTCTCTCCCCACACACACTCCATTTCCGTGTGATTATCTATTTATTAAAACTCATTTTATTAAACCAGACTCTTCCTCGATCTCATCTTTTCCCTATTTAAATCTCCTTTGATAGATATTAACAGAATGAACTGGTTTGATAGAATGAGACAATCCAATATATACATATATAAGAATAGACTAAAATAGATTTTTTTTTAAAAAAATGATATAAGTTTCGTCAGTTCTTTGCATAAGTTTTCCTATTCGGAATATTTGTGATTTGTGCATGATTTTCATTTCATAATAATAATAATAATAATAATAATAATAATAATAATAATAATAATAAAATCTTTTGTAAATGTTCCTTTTTAGTTTTGTTTGGCAAATGGGCCTTCTAAATAAAAGTATCTACTTTTATAATAAAAAGCCGATGATTGTGTCGAATAACTGGAGTTGATAAAGATTTGATTATATTTCACACGAGGCTTTCATTCAATACTGATTTAATAAAATCAATTATTTTGCATGCTTCTATCCATTCTCTTCTTACAACTGCCTATTATTGTTTGCATACAAGCACACACACGCACGTGTAATCACATATATTCATGGGTACATGTAATATACTGATATGTCGGTGAAAATATTTCTGCATGTAATGATGCGAACACCCGCCATACATACACACATTTAAACGTACATACATACATACATACATATAGATAGATAGATAGATAGATAGATAGATAGATAGATAGATAGATAGATAGATAGATAGAACAGACTGATGTAGATAGGTAGAAAGGAAAGACTGAAATAGATGTATATATAGATAGATAGAAAGAACACAATGCAGTAGATGTAAATAGATAAGAACAGGCGGAAGTATACATAGATAGATAGATAGATAGATAGATAGATAGATAGATAGATAGATAGATAGATAAAAACCGACAGAAGGATAGATAGATAGATAGATAGATAGATAGATAGATAGATAGATAGATAGATAGATAGATAGATAGATAAAGAACAGACTGAAGTAGAGATAGATAGATAGATAGATAGATAAAGAACAGACTGAAGTATAGATAGATAGATAGATAGATTGATAGATAGATCACAGACTGAAGTAGAGATAGATAGATAGATAGATAGATAGATAGATAGATAGATAGATAGATAGATAAAGCACAGACTGAAATAGAGATAGATAGATAGATAGATAGATAGATAGATAGATAAAGCACAGACTGAAATATAGACAGATAGATAGATAGATAGATAGATAGATAGATAGATAAAGAACAGACTGAAGTAGATCAGAACAGAGTGTGGTAGATGTAAATAGATAAGTCTGAGTTTCTTTCAGTCTGTTTCATGCTTGAACGCCATCTTCAGACCTGAAAATTGCATTCAAGCGTCATTCTACTTTGACATCATTGTTCACTTTTATATTCGCATACGCTCTATCACGTATATATATATATATATATATATATATATATATATATATATGTACATAAGGTGCGGCGGGTAAATTGTCGCCACTTTATATTTTTAATTTCGTGCATGCACTTTGTTTTTGATTTTGTGGACTACACAGCATAGTAGGGTCAGTTGGGCACCGTCTCTGAGAAAAAGAGCACCATGAAACAATTCGCTCCGCCAGAAATTTAGAAACTGTATGCTGTACTCTTTGGCTTTCGCGCCGGAAGCTCTAATACGATCATTTCAGAGTGTTTGGGTGTCAATCTGAGGACAGTGCAGAGGATTCGGAAAGAGTTGGATGAGTCTAAATTGTAATATAAACGTACGACAGCTCGGAAAACTTATTCTGATCGTTCTGATAAGAAAAGAACTCCCGAATTTGTTGGCGAGGGCCTCAGATTCAATACGGAGACCTACATCTAGTGCCTTGAGGAGATCGTGCCGTCCTGGGTCAAGAGGGTGGCTGCCGGAAGACCCGATTTCTGGCAACGGAACTCAGCGACAGAAGAACCCAGTCATGAGAATTTTTGCGACCATCTAACTCCCCAGACTGCACCCACCACAGAGAGTGAGAGACCAAGAAAACTCCTTGTCACGCCAAAGTTGACCTGAAGGCAAAGATTATGCCAGCATTCATCGACTTAAACAAAACAAGGAGACCGCCCAGAAAAGATGCAGGAGATTCTGAAGTCGTCTGAAAGCCGAGGTTGAAACCAATGACGATTTTATGAAATAAATTTAATCTTTATTATTTAAAGATATTTTTGTGTAATTTTGGTAAATATATCTGTTAAAATGTCTGTTATTTTTATGGTTGCTTAATTTAGATGACAATTTATCCATGGCACTATATATATGAGTTATTTTTTATTTATTTTGTATATATATATTCATGCATGTATTTAAAATCTTATTTCACGACCAAATATCACCATTTGTTTTGGAATTCCTTATTGGTCAGTTCGATATATATTTTTTTTACTTTTCATTTGAATATATTAAAATAAGTTTCAAGTCACTAACCAGTCTCTAAGATGTCAATGTTATTGTCATTTTTGCGTAATTTAGGCGACAATTTATCCATCGCACCCTCTCGTTCTCTCTTTCTTTATATATATATATATATATATATATATATATATATATATTTTTAAATATGAATGTTATTTTTCTTTGCTGTTGCCGATTTCTTTATAAAATGAAGACGTGGAGAGACCAAATATTGTTGAAATGTCAAGCTCTAATGCAAAAACAAAAAGCGTGTAAAACCTAGAACACCCACATTAAAAAGTGTGAATGAGCTAGAAGAAGAGGGTATATACTGCCTGTACACGCACATACATATATGCGTGTGTGTTGTGTATTTATTTGCCACTCAAATGTATTGAAATCATAAGTAAAAACACATACATGCGTACGAATGTGTGTGTCAATAGTATATAGCTTAGTCTATATTACATCTAAGCGTACCAAAATGGCTGTTTTTGTGGGGATTTTTGTTTGTTTGTTTTTGGCGGATGGGTGGAGATTCCTCGGGCATCCTCTTCAGCAATTACGGCATCAGCTCAAGTAATCGTCTTTATTTGCGGGTCTATGTTCCAAGACCACCAATGAATGCCTGATACAAAATGTAATAACGATGTGTTTTTCTTTTCTATACATACATACCTATGATAAACTTTCATTTATAACATAAGCACAAGAGATAGATAATAACTAATAGTAAAACATATGTGACAATTATACAAATATAGTGTAATGAAAATTAAGTTATACGTAATGAATAAAAATTTAATTTTACCACATTACTATTTATTAGTCCCAATAAAGGAGGAGTAATGGATAGCGGCTTGGATTGAGGAATCAGAGAGCCGAGTTCGAATTCCTGTCGAATCCATTCACTTACCCTGGGAAAGGTGTGAATCCTCTTCTTCTCCCTCCTGCTATGGTTAAATAGCAGGAAAAACTGGGTTCTATAGCCCTGAATAGCAACTGGTTTAGAAGAAGGAAAATCTGAATTCAAACCCGGAGTGGAGCCCCTAAGGCGGATGGACGGCACTTTGTGTTACCTTCTGGCAACTCCTGCAGCCGCGCTGGTACCAAACCGCATTGGTTTATCCTCTCCTTTGGACTCTGCTAGCAAGGCCGAGAGGGGGAACTAGACGTCTGGGCAGCCCTTGTTCTCCATATATCCCGCCCAGGCTTATAGCGCTACTCCATCGTCTCTCGAGACAGTCGGATGTCGACGATGATAGGTTGGAATTTTTCGCACTTTTCTTAATAGACGATTTTTTTACTTAAGGAACTTAAATTTTTAACAGTACTCGGTTTAAATTTTCGACAGAATTAGTGCTCAAGTTTAGATTGCTTAGATTTTTTTTATGTTTGGTGCTAATAAATAGAAAAGACAGACGACATTTTCAGTGGAATTTTAAGAAACCAGAAAATGTCGTTAGATTCTTTTGACTTAGTATTTTGTCCCGTACTCGGGTTGCTTAATTTTTGCGAAAGAATTAATGTACAGGTTGTTTAAATTGATGATTGAATTTTTACGTTTGGGACTAATAAATACAAAAGATATTTCAATATAAATAAACAAATCGAATTGAAATAATATATGAATTCAGTATAAAATAATGAATTTAGAACAGTTTTAGTTTAACTTTTTTTATTGAGTACAGTTGCTTATAAACTAATTGCTTTTTTGCTTTTTTTTAATCGTGTAAATCGAGAACTCTCCCATTTTCAGTCAAAGAAAATACTTTACGTCATTTCTTTGGTAGATTTGAATCGTGAACCCCACTTGAGCTATTATTATTATTATTGTTATTGTTGTTTCATTAATTCCTCTTAGTAACTAATCAACTAACGGATAATTCCAAGATGAGCAAAGCCGCTGTTACACACGTTTCATTCTTTTTATCGCGTTGATTACAAGTACAGCCGTTTTTCTGAAAACAAACGATGTTTGTACAAAGACTTATAATTTTCTGCAGATGTTTTTATTATTTTTATATTAGTAAAAAATTTTAAACATAACATGAAGAAGATAGACAGACTGTTGAAATATTGTTGAGCATTGTCAAAATCCGTGTCTTTTCTTTAATTTTTCTTTTCTTAAACCGCGCTCTTCTCCAATTATTATTATTATTATTATTATTATTATTATTATTATTATTCCTTTGATTTCTGGTGTGTACACATTTCTTTCCGGGTCCCGCCCAGAGACCTAAGGTCAGAAATGGCATCATGACATTTTCCACTGAGAAATTAAAAAAACAAAACAAAAAAAGATATTTTAAAGCCCTTCGTAAGGTATGGGCTGTACACATGAGAACAATTTTTTGTGTTTCTTTAAGGCATGGGTTTCCAGGAATCCCATCAATGAGTCTGCTGGAATCTTTTCCAACCAATCCAAGGACTCTAACTACAACAGGGATTGTTCATGTTCACATGTGCCACATTTTTGAGATTTCGATTTCAAGGCTCTTGTATTTTTGAAGATTTTCAAAGATACATTACAGTCTGCAGGGACTGCCATATAAATAAGGAGACTTTTTTTTTTTGGTCTCTAATAACAATGTCTGGGTGTGTAGCTTTAATTGTTCTGTCTGTGTGTATTGTGTAGTCCCATAAAATTGTTAAGGGTCCTATCTCCGTAACCGGGTCTGGGTGGTGTTCATACCAATTCTTCTTATTATTATTCTTCTTCTTATTATTATTATTAGTAGTAGTAGTAGTAGTAAGTAAGTAAGTAAGTAAAAACAATAAATTGTTTGTTTCTGGATATATGAATCCACGGAAGGAAAAAAGAATGTTAGTTTCATGTTTTAATGCAATCGTCAGACCAAGTGCCACTAATCAAAACGCTTGCAAATATATATATATATATATATATTGGTCAGTGATGGATTAAGAAAAATAAGTTAAGCACAAATACAAGAATTCCCAGCCCGTTTGGTTTAAAACTAGTGTTCAGGTTTATTTAAGGATATGACTTATGAATTTCTTATTTTATTATTTTATTCATTTTTATATCATATTTACTTATATATGTTTTATGCATTTTTATATCGCATTTCATATATATATATATATATATATATATATATATATATATATTGCATTTCATATATGTATATATATATATATATATATATATTCATGTATACATATATATGTGCGTGTGTTTGTGTAAGTATACATGCATATATCAGTGCGCTTTCTAGCTTATTTTAAAAAATCGTTTCACAACGGAATGCAGATTTTATCGCAGTTACAATAAGATTGTCTTTGTAAAATGTATGAATATATATACATAACAATGTATATATATATTCATATATATATATATATATATCTTCACATATATATACAGATATTTTTACACACATATATAAATATATACTTATATATATATATATATATATATATATATATATATATATATATAAATATATATATATAAGTATATATATAATTATACATATATATGTTTATACTTATATAAATATGTACTTACATATATTTATACTTATATTTATTTATACCAATATGTGTGTGTGTGTTTATAATACTCGGCCGAGTGGTCTAATATACGTCAGATGTAAAGGTGGTTTTCCCTAGTGTGCGCAGGTTCGAAACCTGCCGGAGGGTGAATATTTTTCTAAAATGAATTTTCGAATATTCAGGCCAGTAGATGTAAATAAATAAATCTACTGTTTAATAAATAAAGACAAACAGAGCGTCTACTGAAATATGAGTATCCATTTAAACAAATAAATTATATTTATATTTACATATATAGATAGATGAATAAAA